CACAAAGATCAAAATAAATACACAATAGCTGCCATTCACTGAGTTCCCATTATGTGTCGATATTTATTAGCTCCATATTTTTGAAGGAGGATAATGAGATGCAGAAATTAACTCTCCTGAGTTTACATAAGGCATAACTGGAATTTAAAGCTACATCCTTCTGACTCCAAAAATAAATCCTCTTCTGAAATAGCATGTTTATTTCATAGTTTTTTGCATTGGACATTGATGTTTTCTCTTTGGAATATCAGTCCTTTTAATTTAGAGGAAGAGAAAAAAAATAGGAAAGATGAGTTTCAGACAGTTGGAATTGTATTCATTCCTTCTTTGAAGTGTTCCCATTTTTTGCCCACACTCCTGACTACAGTTTCTGAATATCTCTGTCTTTTAACCACTGTGCCTGGGCTCTCCTTCTCCCTGTCACAGCATTCTCAAGTTTGATTTCTGCTCCATGCTCTTGCATGTGGCCCTGAAACATCAGACTTTCCATTAATTTTTCTGAGCCAATCTCCTCACCAAGGACTGAAATCTCAATATTCCTCTTCACACACTGTAGCCTGAGGCCAGCCTCACCCACTCCCTAAGGTTTTGTTCTGGAAGATTCCAGCATGAGTTGAAGTTCCATATCTCCAGCTTGACTGAAAGGAAAGAAGAACTATGGGAAAGAAGATTTTAAAAGTCATAATCTTACATAAATCCCTATGAATTGTGGTGAAATATTCATTTGTTACAGTTGCAGAGATATTGCCAACTGTTGACTTCAACAGAAAAAAAATGTTCAAACCCATTTTTATAAAGGCTTAGGAGATGATCAGAAATAAATCTGAAATTAATTTATGACTTAAAATTGAAGGCAAATATCATTTTGTTAAAAAAAGAAAAATCCTAATCTGTTATGTACAGTTAATGTTCTACTCAAGGTTCCAAAAACTAAGCAAGACACAAGTAGAACTTAAAAACAAAAGTTAATTAGAGGTATTAACTTCTCCTTACAGGCCAGCTTTCACATGGTTTTATAGCATCCTTGCCTGCTTCTAAGAACATGTCACCTGAATAAACAAGTAATGCTGCTGTCTCTTCTCACTTATTCAAAGTCACAATAGACTACTGCAGTGATGACTGAAATTACACCAAGTTTTTAAAGAGTGCTTTTTACTATTTAAAAATGTTTCCCAACCAGGCATAGTGGCTCATGCCTGTAATCCCAGCTATTTGGGAGGCTAAGGTGGGATAATTGCTTGAGCTCAGGAGTTTGAGACCAGCCTAGGAAACATGGTGAGATCACATCTCTAAAAAAGTTAAAAATGTTTCCAGATAGATCATTTTATGTCTTTCCCGTCCTTCAACATTCTTTCCCCAAATTAATCTCCCCAGGATGCCTTCTCCAATTAACCCAACTCTGCATCTAGCTCAGGACTTAGGTGGAAGTTGTTCTATAGAAGTCTGTGCCTACTTACGTACCATCAGTATTATAAGCTACCAGACACCAAGGAAACATATTGACATATACTATGTGTCAGGCCCTGTGGTAAATGTACTACAGCATCTAATTTAACCCTAACAACAACTACAAAGCAGATATAAATCCCACAAGGATGGAAAAAAAAAACAAGAATCAGAGAGATTACAAAATTTGCTTAGGGTCACACAACAACTACCTGGCAAATATGACAATCTAATACTCAACTGAAGTCCAGTAGCAGACAGCCAGTCACTAAAGCTTTGTAGTGGACATGGTTGACTGGCTATAAAAAGCCATTCCCAAACTTGTCTTCCTTGCCTATCTCCCATAGTAGAAGTTAGAGAAGTCAAATACACCCTTTCCTACTCTCTGTTATAGCAAAGCATGTCCATTGTTGCAGTTATGGTCCATGAGATATAAGGAAAAGTCTACTGGAAGGGTTCTAAAAATGGTATCCTTCCTGATTTTTGTTAAAAGAAATCTTTTTACCCATCTTTTTCCTTTTGGTTTGGAGTGGTTTGATAAGAATATAATGACTGAATCTAGGGTCGTCATCTTGCTAACACAGAAAAAAAAAAAATGTTGCAGAGATAAGACCCCAAGTCCCGATATTACTAAAAAATATAATCACCTACCTGTAGGACTACTTGTAAAATAAATAATAACTTTTATTATGATTTAAGCCACTAGTAGTTTGGCTTTCTGTTACTTGCAGCTGTAAGTATTCCTAAGGTCACTAAAGTCAGAGACATATGGTAGGAATTATTGAGCTAAGTTTGGAGCATAGTCCTGGGGTACAGTGAGAACCCAAAGATGTAGAGAGGTATGGTCTCCACCCCATGGAGTTTGCAATTTACATGGGAGATATAAAAACTACTCAAATGCTACAAGGAAAGTATCTGTGTGGTACTTGTTGGTATAACTTCAAAGACAAAATAGTCTTAGAAGCAGCTCTTTAAGTAGTACAGCTTTATCAGTATAGTTTTATAAACAGAATAATCAACTTAAATAATCCACAGGAATATAACAAAAATGCAAACTATAATTATTTATGGATGTAGAAGTTCAAATGATTTTGATTTTCCTCATGGTACTTTACTCAAAGTAAAAAATTTTCAAAATACAATAAATACAAAGAGGAAGATTAAAAAAAAACACACACACACTTGTATCCCTAGTACCCAGAGAGTTGAAGTTCCTTCTAACTCTATTACTATAATTTACAGCAGATTATTTTATTTCAATCTAAACAACAGAAACAATATTATTGTAAATATCTTGGAGCAAGCTATGAAGAGAAACAGCTTCTTTGTATGACAGCCAAATAATATTCACAAATATAAAATATTACAATCCGTGGCATATAGAGAATGCCAAATTAACTGCTACTATAAAACACTATGATTCAATTCAATTTAAAATCCTTAGTTTTTAATGCTGTTTCATAACTACTATGTGCAATTTATATTGTCTTAGTTTCCTGCTGTTTCTTTCCTTGCTTCAATATTTTGCCCTAAGAATTTTCATTAATTTGTAAATGTTTATGACTATTATAGAAAAATAATAACAGTCACATAAAAATGGATCACCAGCTTAAAATGTTCAATTTTCTATCTCAACCAGCATCAGGCACTGAGAGGTAGGGAGTAATTTGATTACTAATCAGACTTAACAGTTCAACACTTACCTGTAGAGATCATTGATTTATTATCTTAATTATTTCTCCTCACTAAGCTTTTACTCATATTTTTTGTTAGCTTTGACTTTTATCTCCCTTTTGAACTTTTGGCTTCAGATCTCTATTCTCTATGTTATAGACTTAATGTCTGTATCACCCCAAAATTCATATGTTGAAATCCTAACTCACAATGTGATGCTATTAGGAGATGGGGCCTTTAGGAGTCAATTAAGTGAAGGTAGGACCCTCATGAACAGAATTAGTGCATTAAAAAAAGAGACCTCAGCCCTCAGTCATCCTGGCTAACATGGTGAAACCCCATCTCTGCTAAACATACAAAAAACTAGCCGGGCGAGGTGGCGGGCGCCTGTAGTCCCAGCTGCTCGGAGGCTAAGGCAAGAGAATGGCGTGAATCCAGGAGGCGGAGCTTGCAGTGAGCAGAGATCACGCTACTGCACTCCAGCCTGGGCGATAGAGCGAGACTCCGTCTCAAAAAAAAAAAAAAAAAAAAAAAAAAAAGACCTCAGAAAGTCTCTCACCCCTTCTGCCATGTGGTGAAGGCCCAGCAAGAAGATGGCCCTCTGTGAACCAGAGAGCAGGCCCTCACCGGACCCTGCAAATGTCTCTTGGGCTCCCCAACCTCCAAAGCTATGAGAAATAAATTTCTATTGTTTATAAACCACTCAGTCTATGGTATTCTATTTTAAGGGCCCAAATTGACTATGACCCCCATATGTTATCAATCAGTCAATCAACCAATCATTTATTTTAAATGATTTTGCATTTCTCATAAAAAACACTTTCAGCCTTTGCAGAGCCAAGTAATGAGGAGCATCAGCAGCTGCAAACAGGTTGCATAAGTTTGGTAGGGCTGCCGTAACAAGGCATCAGGTAGCTCAAACAAGAAAAAATTATTTTCTCATAGTTCTGGAGGCTAGAAATCTGATATCAAGTTGTGAGCAGAGTTGGTTTCTTCTGAGGGCCATGAGAGAAGAGTCTGTTTCAGGTCTCTCTTTTTGGTTTGCAGATGGCTGTGTTTGTGAGCATATCTTTGTCCTAATCTCCTCTTTTGAAGACAACAGTTACATTGGATTAGGGTCCACACATTGGCCTGATTTAACCTTAATTATCTCTTTAAAACTCTGTCTCCAATACAGTCACATTCTGAGGAACTGAGGGTTAGGACTTCAACATTTACATTACAAGGGGAGGGGTGGCAGACAGAGGGGAGGGTGGCACAATTGAGTCCATGACACAGAAATAACCAGAAAGGTGACCAACTTAATTATGTATCATGGATTTAGAGAGAAGAAATAAGGGACATCTTTTCTGAGTACATGAAAACCCAAAATACCATACCTTGATTCTGAATTATCCGTGCTGGCAAACAGAAAAAGATCACTGATGACCATCAAAAAAAGGGCATAGATACCTTCTACATCCCAGAACATTCATGTAGATAGCTCAGAAGAAAGAGAAGAGGATAATGAGGATCTCTAAGAGAGTCCCCAGAGCATGGGGAAACCATGCTTTCACTGTCAGAAAAAAACTGCACTTCACAGTAACTTGCTCATTGACCAAAAAAGTTAACCATACAAAAGAGACAAGGGGACAAAGACAGCAAGAGTGAGTAGACCCACAAGAGAATAAGAAATTATTAAAGAATCCAGATCTATATGAAATCTATATATCTACACTCTTCAATGTTCTTCACTTTTAAAGTATGCTTCTTGTGGCTCACTATGAAAGCGATGATTTTACAATTGTCAAAAAATTTTTAATCCTAATACTGAAAGAGCCTCAGTAAGGTATGATTTTTCAAGCTGTGCTATTCAACTTGTCACATCTTTTTCTCCTTCCTCCAGAAAAACATTAATCCAAAAAGGCAAGCTCTCAGGTGAATTACTTTAATCTGAGTATATTTCCTAATACAACAATTTGCAGCAATGATGTTGTCAATGAAGAATGTGTTTCCTTACTGGGACTTGTGCAAGAAGAGAGTGATTTAGAGCTTATGGCCAGTGAAAGAACAAAATGACTTCTGCTCTGCTGGAACCCAGAGGTATGGTGAATCCTATCTTGTGTTTGGGTCAACCTTTTAGTTAGCACAATATGCAAATTTACTACCTAGTTTAAAAAAAAAAAAAATCTATCCTTGAAAATCACTTATTTAACCCATGAAGTACAATACACATGATTGTGTGTTCAATGTACTATTCAGCAATTTTTGTATGCTTAAGTTTTAGAACCATGGATCTAAGCCAAAGAAATAAACAAAGGAAACATCAAAATGCAGTGTCTACATACTCAAATAATTCTCTCTTGAATATGTAGACATTGTAGAAGTAGGGCACTGCGCAAGTCTTCCTATTCAATATAATCAGGACTAGTAGCTGGTCAGTTAAACAAAAAGTAAAATTAATGAAATAACTGTATATGAATACGTTTACCTTAATTTTTTTAAATAAAAGCATAAATATATATCTATTAACTATTTTTTGTGATGCCAAGGTCTTTATTTTGTCTATGACTCAGTTGATTTTCCTCTATCCTTTTTTTTATATGAATCATAAACATAATATATCATTTAGGATTTCCAGTTTAGAAAAAGCTGACAAAGACACTTACAAACTAATGTGAATGTTTAATCTTAGATTTTCTTTGTTTGTAAATTTTATCCCCACCTAATTTGATAGATTTATTTAAACTGATTGACATGTATGGAGTCATTCCATAACATAACACTATTCTCAACTATTTGTGTGGGGAAATGAGTAAGCCATAGCAGGGAAAAGTCCAGTAATTCAGTCTGCACACCACTTCTCTTGGTCTATACCAAAATGAATAACTACAGGTTAAATTATTTCAGTACTACCTTCAGTGGCTAAAGTTTAAATTGAAAGTGATAGCACTGGAAATTAAAAACCTCAAAAATGATTAAACTTTACCTCAGATTCAGAATATTTGGGGCTGATTTTTTAATTCAGAATTGAATCAGAAATTTTGTTTTCCCATCTCTCTGAAAACCTTATATGGATTTATGAATAATCAAAATAAGTTGGGCAAATCTCCACCTATCCTCCTAGTTAGAGATGGTTTTTCTCAGCAGAGACTGAGTGAAACCCAAAGATTTTCCTGGGGGAACTTGGGTAAGGATAGTTGATATACTTTGGCTCTGTGTCCCCACCCAAATCTCTTCTCGAATTTTAATCCCCACATGTTGAGGGAGGGACCTGGTAGGAGGTGATTGGATTATGGAAGCGCTTTCCCCCATGCTGTTCTTGTGATAGTGAGGGAGTTCTCATGAGATCTGATGGTTTAAAAGTATGGCACTTCCCCTTCACTTGCTTTCTCTCCTGCCGCAATGTAAGACGTTCCTTGCTTCCCCTTCGCCTTTCACCATGATTGTAAGTTTCCTGAGACCTCTCCAGCTGTACAGAACTATGAGTCAATTAAACCTTTTTTCTTTATAAATTACCCAGTGTCAGGTAGTATGTTTATAGCAGTGTAAAAACGGGCCAATACAATTGTTTTAAGGGAACCAGTTTCTATTGCTCAAGTTTACTTTGTACTCCTCTAAAATTGATCTTCCTGAAAAATGCACTTCCAGTCATGTTGATTTCCACCTACTTTGTTGTAATTATCTTTGTATTTTCCAGCAGAAAGACACATCTCTCTTCATCTGGTGGTCTTATTAGGTAGTGCTTTGAGCTTAGAAAAACACCTGAGAAACAGACAATTTGAAGTATTGCACAGGTATTAATACAACAAATGACTTTCATGACTGGGCAACAAATCTAATTGCAATTCAAACACTGTAGTTTCCAATCCTTAGCTTTCAGTTCAGTTGAAGAAGGACCTAATTGAGCTGTCATTTGAAAGACCATCAAAAACATTTTTTGTGTGTGATCACTATGTGATATTTGGCTTATAACTCTGAAGGAATTCAAAGAATTAAGTGACATTGCCATAATAGACCCCTTTCCATTCCCGTCTACTTACATAAACATGTTTGTTAAAGGAGTAAGAGAATAAAAGATATCGATATATATTTTTAAAAGAGCAGAATCTATAACATGAAATGCTTTACAGAGGAAGCCACAACAAATGAGCCTATTCAATTCACCTCATATAAGCACAATCAATTTACTCCTTGATTTGTTAATATTTAACAGGAGGGTGAATAGAAACTACCAAAGTTGAATTTAAATATTTAATGACTTAAAGTCTGAAATTCTGTGTAAAAGAGATGATTTTGGTGGTGCAAGTGGGTAACAAACAGACTAGGATGTTACTGTAGCTATCCAAAGTACATCCTAGTTTGCTAACTCAGAAGGCAAGAAACGTATGTTACTTAAGAATGCAATGGACATTTCTGTAGTAAATAACGTGGTGGGTTTATCATTGTTGTCCCTCCTGGATACACATACTATGTAAAATTGACAACTTGACCTAACAGTGGTTTTTAATCTGCCTTTGATGAAAAAACGACTAAGTTATCAGGTAGTACTAAGGATGTATTAATTCTTTCTTTACCAGTCTTCAGTGTACTCTGTCATTACAGAAACACTTCTTTACATTAAAAAGGTATAAACTAATAAGTCTAAACTAACAAAAAATGCTTCTAAACCTTTCAACAGTCTTTCAAAACATATGTCTTCTGCTTTTTTTCTTGTCATGATCTATAATGCTTCTCATTCGTCCTTCCTCAAAGAAAATTTACAGATGAGTGTGACTATCTCTATTTAGAGCCAAGTGTATCTTTCACACAGAAAGCCAACTTCACATGAATTCAATGATCCTTTGAAGGAGCCAGAAGAGCCATATCATTTTATCCTCATGCATGACTGAGGGACATAAAATCCCCATTCCACCTCTAGAACTCATGCACAATCCACAAACACACACACAAATAGCAACATGAGTGAGATTTAGCAAACTAGAGGGACAATCAATTGTAATTTCGCACTCTAAAACAATTTCATTCGAGATCGCAGTGCTGGAAATGGTATTTTATAGTTGACTTCCACCAAATTATGATGCAGCTCAGATTCAAAATCTCTATTATCTTTGGCAGAAGTTTTAAAAACCGTTTTTATTTACTCCAAACTCTATCTGAACAAAGCCAGCACAGGCCCTTTGCAATGTTTACATCAAGTGCTTCATGCTATAATTAAGTAAGCAATGGAAATCAAAGGAAGCACTAAGAGAAGGAATCAGGACATCATTTATTGATTGGTGGCATTTGAGGGATTTAAAATTTTTGTTTTAGTGTATAACTGCACTTTATTACCATTTTATCCTTAAAATGTAATAAGTACAAACTGCTTCAGTAATGATAGAAAAGCCTTCTCAGCTTTAATGAAACCTTTTATTTGCTACTGAAACTTTTATTATTTCCAAATGGTAACATAAGCAAGAAAAAGTCACTACTTTCATTTGAGGAAAAACTTTAGCAATTCAAATAATTTTGTTCTTGGGTGAATTTTAAGACATTTAGATTTGTTGTATTTATGCTTATTGTCTTCATTTACTTTTGATAAATTAAAACCAAAAAAATGTACAGACACACACTATTACAAAATTAGCCTCTAATCATCTATCAAAATACTAGATACTTACATACAGCCATCCTCTGTCAGATGTTGGTTTGATCCAGACACAAAATTTTATTTATTTAGGCTCCTACACATCTCAGTTGCTGACCATGTGAGGCAACATATTGTGATGGTGAAGAGCAATGACTCTGATGCTATATTGTCTGGCTTTGTATTCCAGCCCTTACCCTTCCTAGCAATGCTACTTCTAGAAACTTCTCAGTCCTCAAAATCCTTATCTTTAAAAATGAGGGTGACTAAAAACCGGCATGAGTGGGAAGATTTAATAAGGTAGTTCATGTAAAACACTGGAGTGGAGCCTGGCACATGGTAGGCACTTAATAAATATTTAGTTCTAACAAAGTTTTCATTTCTGAATACATGCACCTCTAGATTGGATGCACCATCTGGCGATACCATTTATTCAGCACATATTTGTTGAGTTTTATTTTGTTCTGAACACTGTCCTAAGTAAAGGGTGCAGAGAAATTAATTTAATATGGTGCCTACTTTTCAGGAGCTTACCATTTAAGCGCAAAGTATTTGTTGCCATCTTAATATCTTTCCTGAAGAGAACCATGAAACATACTCTTTCATTAAATCACAAATTTTCCCTTTTCCCCATAGGCTTGGAACTAATGGAACTTCAGAAAAATTTGACTTCAGTTTCTGAAATCTTAATTGTGCACAGTTTAATAAATAGCTACAGGTTTTTTTTTTCACATTTTATAAAAGATGATTAAATGGTATAATCAGATTCTAACTAGCCAAAAACTTGAAAAACATAGGAAGACAACCATGACTGACACGTTTATTTTCCCAAATGCAAACATATTGCAAACATCAGCTGCTGAAAAATAGTGCTATTTACATCTTACATGACCCACAGAAAACTAAAATTGCACAGGAGCTCAGCATCAAAATGTTTAAAAGTACCTAAATTAAATTCAACTTGAGACAAACCAAAAAGTTCATTTAATCATAGCTATATCACTTTTCTAAAAGTTCTCAAAATGATTTCCAACATGGCACCTTATATGGCTTTAGTTTTTTCAAACATTTTCATTTATGTCATTACACTCAGAGAATTCATTAAAAAGTAAAATCTTGAAGTTTCGGTGTAAGTTCCAACACAACGACTAATGTGGTATTTCAAACATCACAAACTCCAAATGATCTCAAATATGTTGTCCTCTGCTAATTTGCTGCTCCTAAAAATGTGCAATAAATGCAATTAAAAAGGAAAGTATCTTAATTTAATTGCAAGATTGACTACGATATTTATCTTACTAGATGTATCATAATAAAAAAGCTGTCTAATATGCATTACATTGTTTAATTCAGGAGGAAATTGGATAGTCTCCCTTGCAATAAAAAAAAGAAACCTTTTTTTTTTCAACAGCCAGTGATGACGGCGTTCTTTCTAGAATACAATGAGTAATGCCAAAATAGGTCCTCTAAGGGGTTCACCTACCTAAAGCAACTGAAGATCATGAGTAAATACACAGGCACACAACTTCTTCCTCTCTTTCTTGTGCCATATAAGCTTCCTTTATTAAAATACTTTTTAAAGACTCTTGTGATTCTTTTGAGTTGGGCGGAAAAAAATCCCTGAAATAATATCCCCTCTTCCCAATGAAACCTCTTTCGATACTGAATGAACTCACACCTCGCTTATATGTAAGCTGCGGCGAGAATGCATCTCCTAGTCTCAAATCTCCAAATGAATGCATATTTTGATAACCTCTTCTTTTGTATCTAAACATACATGTTCCACACCACAGGATCTTCTTGATCCCAGCGAAGGTCCTTACTTAATGTATGCGTTTTTCACATCTATTTTTTAATCCTTTCAGGGTGAAAATTTCAAAAGGGGTGAACGTGGGTGAAAGAAACGAAGAAGGGGAGGGAGGAGACATGATGCCTGGGATTTCTGCCATCCTCGCTGCAACCCAGAATTCGTATATTTTTTCCTCTCCCCAGCCCTCCCCCTCGTTCCCCTCTCGCCCCTTCCCTCCGCAGCAGGAGGGAGGAGGAGGGGCCGCTGGCTGAAGCCGCCACCTGCCACAGCGTGGAAAAGCTCCAGTTGTCACTTACCCAGAGGGGTGAGAATAGCTCATTTTTGCAGGATCCCTTTTGGACCCCGCGGCAGGTGCGGAGGGTGGGTGCGTGGGGCCCCGTGCGCGCTGGCGCTGCGACAGTCGCGCTCGCGGGGTGGCTCCGCACTGAGGTCCCCTGTGCGCGGGCACCTGGGCTGGGCCGCCGCCGCCCCTGGGCGCCCGGGCTACCCGCAGCCTACCGGGCTCCCACTCTCCGTTGGTATCCACAGCTTCCCGGTTGCTAAGGGAGGAGAGAGGCAAGCGCCCAGGGTCTGGAGAAGTGGAGGCGCTGCTGGAACCCAGCCTGCGGAAGCTGGGGGTGAAGCCAGCTTCTACCCCTTTTTCTGGGCCCTGATGTGGGAGGAGACCCAGGCAAGCCCCTGCTCTGTTGCTCTGGGGCGAGAGTTCCCCCAGGCACCTGTAATATGAAAACACAAACACGCTCGCACACACACACAGGTACACACACACATTTTGGCTGGCGTGCTTCCTGCTAGGCCCTGGGGAAGGAAGGACTGGGTGGCAGCTGGGGGTAATAAGAGCAGGGAGCAGCTACTGCGTGATGCGGTGGTTTCCAGTGCTAAAACAGCGATTGCAAATTCAAGGGAAAGAAGGAAGTCTCTCAATCTGTTTTGGGTTTTGAATTTGTTTCTGCATCTGTAATGCATTACAATCGACTCATTTCCTCCTTGGAAAACTCCTATCCTTGTTCCTAGCTGAGGTTCCCACTTCCAGCGTGCAGGGCTGACAGTGCTGGCTTTCAGTAGGTGGGGGAGACGCAGTTATTCAGTAAAGCACCCAGGAACAGTACTTGTATTGGAATCCAGTACATGGAATGCAGGGCTTAGATGAAGCAGCCTGGATTTAAATGAGGATCTTAATATGGAGGAAGTTTAAGCACTAGACTCAGATAACCTATTTTTGTTTTGTTCATGCTTGATCAGGTGTTTTGCAGAATGAGTTGATCTCTGGCCTCAGGTTCCTCATGTATAAGTGAAGGGTTGGACGTATCAGTGGTGACTGAGCTTTCTAGGGTCTCTATTCTGGGTCAGTCACACTTAGAGGTGGGAAGAGCATCACCTCATTAATGTCATTCTGCTTTTCCTTACGTGGTAAAGGCCCACTGAGTATGACAGAATTTAAACTCGTCAGTGTGACATTCAGGAGCCCTCATCACCTGGCCCCAGCGTCTTTCCCGAGCCTCTGGGACCACTTTCTCCACTACCTTAAACTCTAGCAAAACCAAACTCTTGCACTATCCCTCTAGTGGAAACATACTTTCACCCTTGACTACTTGGAAAACTCCTATTCATCCTGGAACACTTAGCTTGAACACTGCCTCTTTGACATCCTCAGGTGTGCTAATGACTCTGGCCTCTGGGGGCCACTCGGCCAGGCTATGCCTCTGTTTTATGCTTACCCTCGTATTACATTTGCTGAAGTAGATGGCTGCCTTTTCTACTCAAATGCAAGCTTCTCCATTTCATTTTGTACATCTATTCCATTTTTCTATATTCTCAGAAGGAAGCAACAATTTAATAATATTTGCAGCATGAGTGAAGGGAAAAAAAGAGTGGTAGCATTTGTAATGTATTGTTAATAAATGCTCTCCTCAGCCTTTTATTGAACATTTACTATCTCATTTAATCCTCATCTTCATCTTATGAGACAGGATTTTTTTTTCTCCATTTCATAGCTATCAAAACTAATACATAAAGAAATTAATTATTTTTTCTGACATCTTCAATGGCTTCCAACAGGAAAAACTAGGATTCCAGTCCAGATCTATCTGATTTGAGCCTACAAATGTCTTTAACAATTACAAGTTGATTTACTTTTCCGTGGCCCCTATAAATTGCCAGAGAAGCCAGATATTCTATACCATTACAGGTTTTGGACCTGAGTGACCAGAACCATTCCAAGAAAAAAGAAATAGGATGCTAGCTTAGGTCCTGAGACTGAAGGATTCAAGGCTGCTTCAGGGCCCAAATGACTAGAGCTAGACCAAGGCAGAGGTCATCTCCCCACACCCTTCTACCATATGTCTATCCTCACTAACACTGGTTCCTATTTGAGGTTGCCCTTAAAGTTCACTGTAACTAGATTTCACCTGGATAAAAATCGGGAGTGGGAAGGAGGAGGAACTAGAAAGATACATTGTAACTTACTCCAGGTGCTGCCAATCCCTAAGGTGTAAATAATACAATCTTATATAGGTACTAGTTGTTCCAAAATTCATTTTTGCAAATAAAACATGGTATTTTCTCACTGCACAATGAGAAAGGAAATTAAAATATACTATTTAGATACTCAGTATTCTGCAGAAAAGATTTTCCAGCACTCTGCAGACAGTGAGGTACCCTCAACAGCATGTATTAATTCATAAATGGGTTTGAGTTTTCCACCCCTGTGAGCTCCAAAATTTCACATTCCTGATGAAACTGCAAGGAAGCTACTAATTTTCACTTCAGAAAATGCTCACTGTGAAAATGTATTGGGAATTTAGCCAGAATGAATTTTTATGTTAATTTCTAGAATGGAGATAGGGAAAGGGAATAAAGAAAAAAACTAAATTAAACTGTTTCAAGACCAAATAGTCACTGGAGTCCTTTTCATTTTCTCACGGGAAAAAAAAAGTCCCCAGATGTCCCCAGAAGTATCATAAATGTATAAAATGATTTTGGTTTTATAGAAAGACCTGTGGAGTGAAAGTCGAGGTCAGGAGATTGAGAGAAGTAGAATGGCAGCGGGGAGATAAGGATTACACCTACAGTGTTGATTGGATCTTCATTTAGGGTGAACAGCAGCTGGACTTAGGAATCACAGATCTAAACTATCAGTGACGGTCTTATTCGTTTTCTGTTGCTATAATAGAATACCACAGATGAGGTAATTTATAAAGAAATTTATTTCTTACAATTCTGGAGGCTGTGAAGTCCGACGTTAAGAGGCCACATCTGGTGGGGGCTTTCTTGCTGCAGTGATAACATCGAGGAGAGCATCACACGGTGAGAGGGCAAGAACATGTCAGCTCAGGTCTCTCCTCTTCTTACAAAGCCACCAAAGTCATCAATGGGGGCTCCACTTTAATAACCTTATCTAGTCCTAATTACCTCCCAAAGGCACCACCTCCAAATACTATCAACATATGAATTTGGAGATTAAGTCTCCAACAAAGGAAGTTTGGAGGATGCATTCAAAACATAGCAGTGACCATGTCTTGGATCACAGGTAGGCAATGTATGGTTTGCCGACAACATCTGATCCACTGCCTGTTTTTGTGCAGTCTATAAACTAAGAATGGCTGCTACAGTTTTAAATGCTTGGGGAAAAAATCAAAAGAAGAATAATATCATATGATACATGAAAAGTATATGAAATTCACATTGTTTTTTATGTCCACAAATAAAGATTTATTAGAATATGCTCACACCCGGTTTTTTTTTGTTTTTATTTTTATTTTTTATTTTTTTAACAAATGACCTATGCTTTCAGGTAACAATGGCAGAGTTGAGTAGTTGTAACAGTGACTTTACGGCCCATGAAACCTAAAATGCTTGATATCTTTCCCATTACAGATGAAGTGTGCTGACTTCTGGACTAACTTATCACCACAATTGGAGACCTAACTTACCCTCACAGACTTTGAGAACAAGGACCACACCCTTGTATTCCCAGTACCAAATGCTCTGTGCCTCTCACAGAGGGGTGCTGAATAAATAGGCAAATGAAGGAATTAATGAATAGATTGAAGAAATAAGTTTTTCCATGTGTTTATTATTCTCCTGAAAGACAGAGTTCAGGTTACCAAGACTTTCTTCCCAGATGTAATCCCAAAGGCATTTCGGAGATCTTCAAAGCTCACTTGTAAATTTAACCTTCTGCACAATGGAGCATGTCCTGATGAAATGCTTACCTTACTGGCCTCCCACTGAGCTTTTATATAATGATGATAAAGAAAGTAGCCCTGGATCACATCAAATCATCATGCCTTAAGGCCCTGACACTCGTGGACTGAGATGGGATTCAAGCAGGGCTCAGGTGTGTCAAGCTGCTGCTTCGAGGTCGCCGCCTCTTCTACTGTGGATTGTCTGTGTCACTCCTGCCTCCTATCCACACACTGTGTTGTTGGTGTGCACGCCTACTCTCTTCCAACCCTAGCATAAATTTCTGCTCTTTCCTTCAGTATCAATCAAATTATCATGATTTAGAAAGTATTTAACAAGTATTTCATGAACAATGATAGAAAGAGTATAATCCATGTTTTCCTTGACACTCCAGTTGGAGGAGAGGACATGAAAAATGTGACATAAAAAGAGTAATAAATGGATATGTCTTTGGCTCTGGCGCCACCCATGTATGAGTGAACTTGAGCGATATTAAGGAGCTCAGCATGTCTGTGATTGTCCACTGCTAGCCAAAAGGCATTCTAAACAACAGGCATTGAATTTTGGGAGAGGAACTGAGTAGAGCCATCACAATGGCCTGACACAATAGATTAGGTTAGCTTACTTGATCCAATGTTTCTGAAACAGCTACAGATGGCTGACACTACTGTTTGCCATTAGAAATAGACATTATACTTGGCATTCACAGAACTAAGACTCCACTTGGCCTAAGATCAGAAAATATCCATTGACCATTTACTATATATCAGGTACTCATTGAATCTTCGCACCTTGAAGTAGGTTTTATTTTTATCACTATTTTACAAATGAGAAAGCTGAGGTTCAGATAAATTAAATATCAGCTAGTAAATGGCACAGCTGAGATTCAAATCCCGTTGTCTATGTTTCTAGAACCCACACTCTTAAACACTTTGCTGTATTGCTTCCCACATCCAAGAGGTAAAAAGACATAACCTCACAAAGGGAAGGTAATAAATGCAAGGTCGCTGATCTCAAATAAAAGCTGTTCTCAATGTGCCAACTGTTCTTCTCCCAACCCTCATCACTCACAGTGACTCAATAATGTGGCTGGAGAAAAACAAAACTGAAGGGCAGGAATTTCATTCATTACCACACATCTGTTTTCTGACAGAGTAAATAGTGTACTCCATGCCCTCTCACCCTTAAGAGCAACCATCTCCAAAACATTGTTATAGCTTCATTTGGTTTAAATGACATTGGAGTTGGCCCTTCCATGAAAGCATAGCAGCACTGGTCTTCAAGCATTCCTGCATCATAAACTGCTGGCTGAATTGCCTTATTCTCTTCATCTCCACAACCTTTGAATTAAATTGTATAGACAAGAAACTTATGCTTCTTAAACTTAGGTTATAAGTAGATTCATGGTCTTGAACAGAAGACTAGGATTATTCATTTGGGAGGTAAATGGTAGTTAAGCTCATAGAACAAACCATGTGACCTATACTATCTTTTTTTTTCTTTAAAAAAAAACACATAACTTTATTACTTACACATTCATGTTGTAACTGAGACTTGATTAAGGAAATGCCACCTGATGGGACTTTAAGACATAGTTATTGATTAGGTAAAGATTCTTCTTGGTAATGACCATATTAGTTTCATGGAAATAAACACCCTTAAAGGAGTTCATGGATTTTTCTCATAGGGCTTAAATACTCTCCAGACAAGCATGCTTTCACTAGTAAATTGCTTAGCCAACATTTCCTCCTTGAGGGCACATAGGTTAAAAAAAGTTTTGTTGCTGTTGGAATGATCACAAATTCTGAACTAATGAGAATTTCTTGTTATGATAAAAGACAATAACTCAATGGAAGTTGTGGAACAAACATCAAAGAAAATACAAAGAGAAAAACACATTTCTAGAGTGAGAGTTTGGAGAGAGAGATTATTCATTGGTGAATTGCAGGAAAACCCAAAGCAGTAAAAATAAATTAATAAATAGGCAGATTAAAACGGCACAACCATGCTCCTAAGCTCCGCAGAATCACTTGAGAAGAATAATCTGGGGATTTCTTGATAAATTGACAGTTTGTAATATGATCCCCATAGCTGACCCAAGATCAGAATTGTGGGGTTTCTTCGTTCCTCTGGGCTTCTTTTTCAATAAGTTTTTCTCTCACTTAAAGGCCATATCAAAATCCACCTTTTGGTTCAGGAGGAAGAATCATGACTACAGGGTTTATTCTCTGCACCTGTGTGAGCCTGTCACCACAGGGAGCTTTTATCCCTGAGCTAAATGGTCAGTCAGACAGGACGTGAGAAAAATGCTCTGATGAGCCAAGGTTCTGCAACATTGGAAAGAGAAGCACAAAATTTTATGGTGCTCATTGTTCTGATGTGTTCTGTACTGAGACACAGCAACCAAGGCTATTTCTTAAGCTATAAGCCAAAGGGGAAAAAGCAACGTGGTTAACACTGGAGTGTGCTATGATGTGGAGAAATATTTTGTAAGCAGTGAAAGGAAGTCGAGAGGGGAATATATAACTTTACTCACTTAAAAGGCAAATAAATGAAAAAGAAGGAGGCGAAGTTGACAAGGAAGGTGCATAGTTTCATTATGCATAATCACAAAAAGGAGAAAATCCACAAATCCCCTCTAGTTTGCTTGGCATTATACCTTTGCACTTAAGACTTGAGTAGTTATGCTTGTGATATTGTAAATTCTGAGAATTTTTTTCAGATGTACCAAAAAGGCCATATTATGAAGAATGGATTTAAGAAGAAGCAAGAGGTTCCAGTTGCCCTATTTTGTCCATATGCAAATCAGAGATCCAGGTTTGAATTACAATTCAGTCACTGTAAAGATGTTATCACTTTGGGTTATAGGAAAGGCTTGTATGTTTCTACTTCTTTGATGTTAGGCATGGATGGCCATTTGACTTGTTCTGGCCAATGAAATATGAAAAGTGATGTGTGTCACTTCTGGGTATAATCTTTTAAGAGCTCCAGCAGAATTCTTCATCTCTCTTTTACTAGCCCCAGTGACCAGCAACATTCCAGATGGTGGTGCTTTCCTCAGCTTGTCCTCCTCACTGAGGATGATGTGGCACAGAGCCACACACAAACCCATGATGGACATGACATGTATGAGAAATTAATCTTTGCTGATTAAAGCTATTCAGAGCTGGGGGCTGCTGGTTATCACAGCAAAGCTGGCCTATGGTGATGAACACAGTCATAAATTAGCTATGTGATCTGGAGAAAGCTACTTTCTCAAAGCCTCTATTTTCTAATCAGAAAATGAGGAGGATCTGGTATATAGCAAGCATTCAAAAATGGTAATTTACCCATCTTCATGATAATAACTACACTTTATTAGACACCTACACTGTGCCAGTCACTATCTTCCCTGTACATACATCATCTCTCATCCTCACACCAATCTTACAAAGTCGGTGTTCTTGATCTTTTTTATAGATGATGAAACCACGCCTCAGAGAGGTTTACAGATTGATGAAGGTACCAGCTCGTAGGTGGAAGAATCAGATCTTTCTGATTCAAAGCTCTTGCTTTATTCACCATGCTGCTTCTCTTAAGAAAATGCAGCTAATCCATCATTTAATAAGTGAGAACTTACAATATTAAGACAAGCATCATAACATTAAAAACAAATAAAAAGAAAATAAATTAGAATTTTAAATTATTACATTCTTCAGACAAATCACTTTTATCACTAAATGATTTTGTTTTAATAATTCCAGTAAAGCCATGCTCAGTCATTCCCAACCTAGGATGACCAACACCTAAGGGTTTATTAAGGTAATAATATGGGTTTGCAACCTGTTCTCAGGATTTCCACAAGCCTAGAAGAAATGAGAGTTACATAGGGCAACATGGCCCAAGCCAAATAAAAATTGCTTTTTTCTTTTTTTATAATAATTATAGTAGGTCATCTCATTGTGGTACATTTGGCTTTCTCATAGGAGGACATTATTTGTTATTTTTCTTGCATAAAAATAATCTGTATCAAAACACTACATTCATAGTAATTCAAAAAAATTATACAAGGGCCCATTAGTTATAAAAAGGTTGTTAAACACTACTATATCCCAAGTCTTAAATTTTGGCCAGTACAAGTGTAAATTTTCATTTCTCCATCTATTTGCAGCTTAGCTCCTAACAACCCCGGTTGCCCCTCTAGTCCCAATAGGTACAGGGAAGCAACACAACAGGAAACATCATATGTGATGACCAAGGGAGGATGGCAAAAAACTCAGTGTTAGTAGAGGAACCAGCCAGAGAATGAATTCAGGGAAAAGAGGAGGAAAGCCACTTCTCTTCAAGTCAATTCCCTAAAAGGAAGAGCTGACAGGTGAAATGAAAGTGACAGACTCAAATTTACCTTGTCATTTATGGGGAACAGAACAGAACACCTAGAATTTGGGGGAGGATGTCTCTCAGAGAAATTGACAAAAGACTTTGTAGACAATGTGGGTCAGAATGAATGACTCTCAAAATGGAGTTCTGTGGCCATCCTTCCTTCTACGTTCCCCTGCTAGAAATCGACTGTTGATTTCCAGACTAAATTAAAGGCTCTTCAGTTGTAACAAAACAAAGATAGTATTTCAAAGTCACCCTTTGGTCAGATTTCTGGAGGACAGTTTTTGGCCCTGCCATCAAAGTAAATAAACCCCACTATAGTCATGGTCGCTGGGGTGGGAGTAATGACAATTAAAAAAATACTGAACATATGATGTGTGCCAGGCTCTGTGCCCAAATGCTTCAAGTGCCATATCTCAACTTATGCTCAAATGCTATTGTTTCCCCCTTTTTACAAAGAAAGGTTCTGAGAAGCAGGGAACTGAAG